AATGTAAAAAATCTGTTGGACATTCATGTTTAAAAGCTAAAATGTATTTGGACACATCCTAAATAATGCTACAAACTATTTACTAAATTACTACCATTTGTGGAATTAAACTTTACTTTGCCCTGCCTTTCTAGGTCATTTTCTGTTTTCCTCTGGGTTCTGGAGAACTAGCTACCATTAACTCAGTTAAAATTCTGGGCTTATAGCACCTTTCACCATTATTCCATTACCTCTATGAAAAGAGCCCATGTCAGACTCAATATTGATCAAAATAACCCCTCTAGAGGAAGTTATTTATATTTATATATTTGAGAACAAATCAGTATTCAGTTAGATTTTAGCTCTTAAACTAATAAAGTGACCCTATTAAATATGATCTGCTTTTCCATGCATATTGAATTCAGAAGCTCATAGGAGGTAAACACTGCTAAGAAGCACCATTCCACACGGCAGAAAAATGGGAAATTGCTTGCTACAGTTTTATGGTTCCAAGATCCATTTAAGTCTCACAGTGTTCAGTTACATGGATGTCATTAATGCACATGGAGCATTATCAGTGCTTTCCAGACATGAGTCTCATTATTGTCATTAGTCTGACTCTTTTCTGATTCTGGAAGTTTTGCAGATTAGAGGGAAGAAATGTACTCAAACTCAAGGAGCCATGACTGCTAAGGTTGAAATGGTAAAAGTGGAAAAATAATATCATTCTACTTGCAGTTATTTTGATAGAAATCGTCTGCAAAATATATGTATAATATTTTTACAGGATTAAATTTAAAATATAATATCAATTATTTTATTGAAATATTTGGTAATTATATTTCTAATACATGGAAATAGTAATTTAAAACAAAATACATAATACATTTATTTAAAAAGCAAGCAAAATGAAAATAAGGTAATATATAATTTAAATTATACCTTGTATTTAAAAAGTGAAATTGTATGTGTTAAAGAAAAAAGTATTATACACAGTTATTACTATTATAACTGTAAATATTCCATGTTATATTGAAAAATTTTGAAAGTACATACAAAGAGAGAGAGTAGCTAAACTAAAATGTGTTCTCATAACCCAGAATTTCCAAAAACAATATACATTACAGAAGAGACTGGATAACGTTTTGCCCCATCCACTCTTATCCCAAAACTCCTCTAGATGCAATGACTCATCTGAATTAAGTATAAATCCTTTCTATGCCTTGCAATATTGATAACTATGCCATTATTTTATAGGAAAACTAATCATTTGCATTTATGTTGACAGTTACATGTATTTGCCTGTTAGGTTCAAACTTCAGGAAGGGACAGAAAGATACAACAGTAGTTCAAGTCATCAGTTACATGGGAAAAAATCATGATCAAGTTAGAAATGAACTGACTAATCACTGCAGCAGTCAGGAGATGCAGCAAAGCAGTGTACCCATGTTCCTCAGCCCTAAGGAAGGTGTAAATCAAGATATGTATATATATATACACATATATATACATGTCTTTGTCTTTCTAATGTGTTGGTTTAATGTGATAATATTAAATACATACCGATAGGAGCTTAACGTGGCAGATGGTCCTTTCCAAAGATGGTTGAAGCAGTATCTCCCCCTACTGCCATGGTTAATAAGCCATGTGCAGGTGATCCGGTCAACAGCCCAGCTGAGCTTCCAGCAGACAGCCAGCATCGATTGCCAGCATTGCAATGACGCATTCTGGAATATCTAGCTGAGCCAAACCTTCAGATCACTGCTGTCCGAGAAGACATCTGATTACAGCTATATGAGACACCTGAAGTGTGCTCAGCTAGGACCTTCAAATACCTAGTACACAAAAGCATGAGTAAAATAAAACGAATTTTTAAGCTGCTAAGTTGTGGGGTAATTTATCATGCAGCGAATATATTCTAGACAATTTTAAAATCAAATAAGATGTTAAAAACTTAATTTAAAATAATGAAATTTTAGTCGATATTATTGAGATAATAAAGATATCCTTTGCTAGTTGAATTTACATGAAGTTATTATTTGTTATAATGACAACACCAGTTTTCCTAAAAATTCATCATCCAAATAGATAATCGGCTGTACTCTGAATTGGATTGCATTCTTTAAAGTATTATGCATTATCACCATCATTTTCCCACAATATGCAGTGAAAATCATCTATGAAAGAGAAAAAACTTGTGAAGAAAATGTGAGTCTCACAGCCTAGAAAAGTGCTTATATTATAAATAAAAATTGGGGCAAATGATAGTGAATTGAAATATGTGAAAGATGAGTGACTTGAGCATAAAGAACATGCTTGATTTTTTCATGCATGAGAAACTTTAGGATGCAAAGCAAGAAGCCTTTGGCAATAAAGCATTCAAAGATGGGCTAACAGTGCTTTCAGATGGAAGGTGAGGTTATATAAAACTTTATTTGGTGAATCACTCTGAAAATGAAAAGATCCATGAGGGAATACTGAAGAGTACCTGTTATATGGCTGTCAACTCAAAACCACCTTAACGAAAAAGCTGCTAAATAATTTGAAAATCTATCTTATTTATATAATATTAAATAACATCTAACAAAATTCATAAATCACTTAATAAACAATAAGTATAAATTCTAAATATAATGATAGTAAAACACACAGCTCTTCTGATGCCAGAGGATGCTCTTGGAGAGCATTCTATCGTTGGTCTGTTGTGTAGAGAATTTGTGAGTAGTCATTTCACCTCCCAGTACCATGGTATTATTGACATCTTTGGACCAAGGCTCTTGCCACCCTCCCCTCATGAAAAGGTAAATGCAAATTAAAAATGCAAATTAAAACTAGCATTAATTTTAGATAACATTTCTCTTTCTGTTGGCAAGTGTTGAGGAAACAGGCAAACGGTACAACTGCAGGGAGGGAATTTTGTCAATATCTTACAAATTATAGTACATTTAGCTTTGGAGCCAGTCAGTGCATTTCTGGAAATCAATTCCAAGGATATACCTTCATGAGAATAAAATTACATATGAGCAAGATTAATAATTGTAGCCCTATCTGTAATAGAAAAATAATGAAAACAACACAAATGTCTATTGATAGGAGACTATTTGAATAATATCTTTCTAAGAAAGAGGAAGAGCTTGTGAAAAAGTTAAAGGAGTCTAACAGGCCTAGCTAAGGGCATACAGTTGAGATAAATGAGCAAATGATAGTGTGTTGAGATATGGCAATCCATGAAAGATCCAATCATGGAAGGCATGCTTAATTTTTTCTATGAATGAACATTTTCAGGGAAGAAAATAAAAAGCTGCAGTTCATAAAACATTCAAAGAGAGGCCAATACTACTTTAGATGGAGATTGCAATTATGTTATACTAACACTTTTGTTGGAAAATCTCTCTAAAAATCCCGAAGCTTTTAAAGTAATACTTACAGCTCCTTGAATCATAAAACTTGCATGATAAAGATATTAGTCAATAATTGTGTGATAAGTGAGCAATTACCATTTATTAAATACACAGAGAAGGAAAAACTGACAAATAAGGCTGTTCTGATTCTAGATGAAATCAAGCCAGAAAGGATGAAGCAAATATGGTAAAATGTTAACAATTATCAAATAGAGTTAACAGGGGCATTCATTTTATCATTCTGTTTTTCTGTGTGTTTAAAATAGCCATGGTAAAAATTGGGGGGGGGAAAGCATTGTAAAATACAGAGTTTTTAAAAATATCAAGCAGTCTCATGTTTTCAAGAGTTGTGTAATTGCAAGCACAATGAATTCGAGGCAATAGTCACTTTGACTTTCTTTTGTCATCGTTCTGTGGCTTCGTGTCTGGCTTCAGATGAAAATTCACAGCCATCCACTCTCTGAGCCTCTAGTGCCCAGGAGAGACCAAAGTTCACATCCCTCTGTGCTCAGACGAGGACACATGGCAAGACTTTACTTGCACTCCTTCCTGTACTAGCTCACTGTTGCTCACATTTACCTTCCTTTGAGCACCAACAGCTTCTTCCCTCTTCTCTTGTGACCAACTGCACTCTACTAATACTTCAGTCTGTTAGGAACCATTATTTTTAATTGCCTTATTTGTTTTTACAAATGATATTTGTGCCCATTGTTTACCTTTAAAATAATATTTCATTATTAAAAGAACTCATTGAGTGACGCTTAGAAGGAAAATGTAATACCTACATGGTACTGTGCAAAGTTGCTCTGATCTGAAAACACAGCTACTAAATTAATTTAGCATTAAATTAGTGGGTAATCGTGATACACGCTTCGTATGAGGCAGAAATTCTCTTCACATTGTCAGAAAACTGCTAAAGTGTGTTTTAGAGATACTTCGTGAGATTAAGTTTTTACTATTCCCTTTTTATTTCTCTCATTTAAAAACAATGCCATGTGGCTTGTATTATCTAAAACGTGTAAACGATGGAGTAGAAAGACGTGAGAAGAATTTAGGAAATGTGATGTTTTTCCCTGGTCATTATCAAAAACTGTAAATCAGTGATACAGTTCACATACATATAAGCATACAGCTTTATATGCTAATCGTTCAAGAAAATCTATATATATGCTGAATATTTCTATATTCAGTATACTTTCTGTATTCAAAACTCATTCTCTTCAGTGCCTATTTTACTGTTTTTGCACCTATTCCATTCCAGGATTTTATTAGGTAAATATTGTTTTTCATACATATAAAATGCATTTTTCTTTTATTTCACTGGAGTATCTATATTTTAGCATTAAGCTTTGTTATTTTTTCATAGTGTGCAGTAATAAACTGGAGTTTCATTCAAATGACGTGGTTTATCATGTTAAATCTTTCACTCTTGATTCTGTATATTCTAGATAAAAAACAGAACTTAAGCTAAAGAAAAATGATTTTTATTAATAGTTTAGTATATTTTCAGTACTTTCACAAAGAAGGAACAACTGTTGCTTTGGTGGATTATAAAATGTTTTATATAATGGACACAATATATTCATTTGTATTCTTTTGTTTTTCATGTTCTTTCAGAATGAGCACTGTGTTTATCCAGAATGAGTACATGATGAAAGAAAACAAGACCAGACTGATGGAATTGTAAGTGTCTTTGCGAATCCCTCCTGTTGTTACCCAGCAACGGTGACTGTTAATCTTTGTCCTTTGCCCTCTTGCATGACCTCATTTCCTCTGGTTCCGCTACATTTTCCTTTAGTGCTCACACTGCCAAGACTGGAGGCTATTACAACTCACTTGCTTTCAGTACTGAATAAATGGTCTACCAGTTTGAACTTTTATACCAATATTTCTGCTCTCAGTATGTATTTCTCTTTTTCGTTCTGGAGAGTTGGACAGTGCACTTATGTGTTTTGGAGATAAAATAATACTATCAAAATACTGTGTATTGAAATGTAAAATAGATAGCTAGTGGGAAGCAGCCACATAGCACAGGGAGATCAGCTTCGTGCTTTGTGACCACCTAGAGGGGTGGGATAGGGAGAGTGAGAGGGAGACACAAGAGGGAGGAGATATGGGGATATATGTATATGTATTGCTGATTCACTGTGTTAGAGAGCAGAAACTAACACACCATTTTAAAGCAATTATACTCCAATAAAGATGTTTAAAGAAAAAATACTGTGTATTGAAAGGCAGTATAATTTTTACCTCCTGAATATAATTATATTTTAACCAGAGCAGAAAGTTTCAGTATTTACTTAGAAAGTTATTACCCTTATGTATTTCTTTGTTTGTTTGTTTAGAGAATTAAGTTCAATACCAGTCTCAGTTGGAATTTTACTTTCTTTTTCATAACTTAATTTCATCAAATATATTTATTTAAGGAGAGAAGGAAACGGCTAAGCTGAAAAATTAACTGATTTTCTGTTCAAGCAAGGAATGAAAGACAGAAAATCACTGTTAAGTGTTAGAAAAGCAAAATTATTATTTTATTTTATTTCTGTCACTTTAAACATTGATGGCAGATCATGGTTGATTTTCATTTTTCAAAAAATGTCCAAATATCATTATCAAATTTTATATTATATTTTATTTTCAATATCATGGATAATATGTAACATTGCTGAGTGCTTATTATGTGCTAGATACTATTTGAAGCACCTTGTTTATATTAATTTATTTAATTTGCACAAGAATTTATGAGGGAAATAATATTGTAGCCACTATTTTATAGTTGAAGAAACAAAAGCCAAAAACAATATAAGTGGTGGGTATAGCAGGGATTTGAATACTACAAGGTGATTCTAGTTTCTATTTATGTGTTTTATCATTAACCATATAGATGTTCTGTTACCATTAATGCTTCCCCTGGCCAAAAAGAATAAATAGATATTTTTTAAAGTTCCGACTATTCTTGAGGCCTACGTAGCTGACATTTTTCTCCATTTGAATTTTTGGAACAGTTTATTATTAATTTTATGTTTCATTCAGATGGTTCTCTGCTATTTTCTAAGAAAAAATATAAAGCAAAATAAAGAGTTCAGATACTAACTGTACACTTTAAAAATGATGAAACTACAAATGTGAAGGAAGCAGATTTCAAAACCTATAAAGTGTAAAAATTTAGAAAATCATCGATTTAGGTGTTTTTTAGTAGATTAGTGCAACTTAGACTTTATATTTCCAACAACAGAGTAAGGAATCTGCCATGGTCTGAGTGTTTGCATCCTCCCCAAACTCATATGTTGAAATCCTAATGCCCCACAAGATGGTATTTAGGAAGTGAGGCCTTTGGGAGGTGCTTGGGTCATGACTCTGTAACCCTCATGAATAAAACTGATAGAATTGATTATACTTTCTACATCAAAATCGTTACAGATTGCCTGGTTTATACAAGTCACTATGCTATGCAACTTATATGCATTAGTTTTAATACTGAATTCAACATTTGAGGTTTATATTATTATTATTACCATTTACAGAAAAGTAGTTAAGATAAAGGGAAGAAAAACTGGGCTAAGTTTTGGCATTGGTTGGAATGTAAGAATATTTAATCAAGCAGAATGAGAAAGAAAAATACTTAAATATCAAAAAAATAATTCAAATATTTTGATATATGTACTAAAACACTTGGAATACTTAGAAAGTAATGATATTAAAAATAGTTTAAATAATCACACTTAAAACCAGTACTGCGTAAAGATACTATACATCATTGTATATAAAACTGCAGAATTATTTTCTTGAAAAATATCACAGTCAATTGTAATTGAGGAAGGACCTTGGCTGTAATTGCCATTGAGGCATAGTAAATTTTTAAAATTCTGAGTAAATTGTGTGTGATGTATTTATTCAAATATTCAGTTGAATTGTATATTGTCATAAATGTAAAAGTCCACACTATATTTGAGTAATTTCTAGATCAACAGATACCAAAAAGCAATGAAAACTGTTTCACAAAATCATAAAGGAATGGGTTCTCCAAAGAACTTCTATGCATATTTCAGGAAATTCTAGAATAATGGGTCTAATCTTGAGAATCCAAATAATACATTTTGAATGTTACCTCTTCCGTCTTATCTTCTTTCTATTAAGATGTCACAAGAAAGCCTTTGAAAATTAAGCAATTGTGAATTTGGGAGTTAGAAATCTGAGTTAAAATGGATTTTTGAGAGAGGGTGAAATACAAAATCTTTTAAAAAGTAAAATCACAAATTTTGAGTCAGTAAAAGGAAACTTTCCCAAGACATAATATGACATGTTATCTAAAGAGAGAAGGTAAGAGGACAGATTAAAAGGGGAAAAAAAAAAACCCTAAAGGATATTTTTTAGGAGAATAACTGGGCAACAGGGAGGATGATTTAGTAAGTAATATCACAGCTCCCAACCCAGAATATAGGGACTGAGCATTACTAGGTGGCAGGAGGAGAACTACAAAGAAGATTCTGATGGGTTGAAGAAATTCCAGCAGGTGAATGAGGAGAACACACTAATGTAGTATTAACCAGAAGTCAGAAATGCAAAACCATAAACGTGTACTTTGTTTTCAGAAATCGAAGGCACTTTAAAAATATATAGAACTAAAATATTAAAACTGTGGAGACTGGTGAGAATAAGAATATCTGCAACCTACCAAGGGTGAGATACTTTATAGCAATAATAATCTTTAAAGCCTTAGAAGGAACCTATGAAGTAAGTATGATCGTTGCTGCTTTACAAAAATATGTTAGAAATTTACTCCAAGGGTTAAGAGTATGCACTGCTTATTCTGAGCCAAACACGAAGCACTCTGCATGGATCATTTCACTGAATCCTTAAGGTAAGTTCCTTGACTTCCATACCCGGCTCTTTCCCACCCAACCAATGAGGCATCCTGGGCCGGAGAGCTTAACTCTACTCAAGCGTCCACACCAGTGCTTCCGGCATCCTGGGCAAGCCAGTCTTTTGATGTGCACATGCGAGCCTCTTTCTCTGTTGCAGGACTTTGTCATGTCTGACCCTGACCCGGGAAATAATTACCAGGCATAGAAATCTAAAGCACTCCACGTATTTTCAAATGCCTCTCAACAGTTAGAAAACAGGAGACACAAGAGGGAAGAGATTTGGGAATGTATGTATAGCTGATTCACTTTGTTATAAAGCAGAAACTAACACACCATTGTAAAGCAATTATACCCCAATAAAGATGTTAAAAAAGAAAACAAAGAAACAAAGCACAGTTTGCTTTACAGGGATGCATACCTCAGGGTTTTTTTCCCACCAGGATTCTCTCTTTTAAAAGTATAAGCGTTGCTACATTGTGAGTATCTCACTGTATACATCAAAGGAAGAAAAGAAAGTATCAACTCACACATTTATTTTCATTGACTTCTCCAAGAGCCTGCAGAGGTAAATGGGAGAGATGCAATGCCTGGAAAAGCAAGATAATCAAGCAGCTTCCACTGTTTTGGAGGAGAGATCTATAGTTATATGATTTCATGTAGACAGTTTCAGGTTAAGCTTACTTAGGCAAAGGAAAATGTCACTTTAATCAGAGGAAAATGAAATTCAGATACAAAGTCACTGGTACTCTATAATATTCATTACTATAGAGCTTTTTAATTTCCCTTAGAAAATGTGTGCATATGTGTGTATATGGCACATATATTTAGTTGTTAGTTTTATTTTCCCTTCAAGACTCAACTCATTTCTGTTTTGATCTCTATGAAGCTTTTTCACACTTTTCCAGCTCCCAAATACTCAGTTCTAATAATCTGTTTTTCTGATAAAGAGTAAGAATTAAAATACAGTAGAACAATAAGAATTAGGTTGAAAACAAGAAGAAAAGTCACCATCAGTATCTTAAAACTTCCTGACACATAAGAAATATAAACTATAAATATCACTTAATATAATTTTAGTAAACAAGTTAGATATGAAGACTATAAATATATTGATATACACTTGCTAAAAATACATATTTGTATACTTCACACTACTGTAGTCTAATAAGATTAAGCATTTTGAAAATAATCGAGGTCACAGAGAGATGGAAAAAGGTAATAATAATAGAGCTTTGAAAATCAAAGTAGAACAGCGGATGGATAACCCAAGGATGTTCTCTGGAGATGACCCAAGGAAAGGCCCACACTCTGATCCTCTTTCAATTAAAACTCAACAGTCCATTTGCTTTTTCTCCCCCTCATAAACTATCATGAAAGTTTTCCTGCTCAAGAACAACTGAACCAAAAGTCAGATGGACCAGTTATGCCACTGAAATACCTTAAAAAGATAAAATTTTTACTCTTTTGCTCTTAAGAAAATTGCCATTTGTCAACCCCAAATCCATCTCTCTCCCACAGAAATAGGGTCATGGCTGGTCACATGGCTGCTCAGCTGGAGCCTAAATATTCCAGTCTTCTTTGCAGGCAGGAGGATACCAGATGACTAAATTCTCCTGAGTGTCTGTGAGCTGAAGTCACATGTACCACAACTAGGTATGGGTTCTGGGACAGCAGATGTGTGCTCTTACACACTCTTCAACATCTGCAGACAGAAGGGGCATGACTGTCACTCAGCTTCTGCCATGCAGACACCTCAGCCCCCTAGAACATGGCAGAGCCATGGATGGGAATAGTTCTTATTCTCTGAAGGGCAGTGTG